CTCTCTCTCTCTCTCTGTCGCGACGACACTTCACGTCCGATGGAAACGCGCCTCGAGCGTTCTCGTCCGCTGTCCATCCCTCGCTTGGCCCCGCTTCAAAATCGCCTGATAAAACTGCCGGAGAGATCGAAGTTTGAGCGTGCGACAACAAGGGAGAATTGATCCTTCGGACAGGCGGAATTAATCCAAGGATGGCTTTGAATATATTTGTCTTCGATAAGGGCACAGCTCTCAAGATTTTTGAATACTGTTATTTTATTTATATATTTTCTTCTATTTGTATTTACTTTTATCTCTTACTTACTTAACTCTTCATTGTTAATATTTAGTTACTTTTCTCTTAACGCATGTATACTTTTATCTGTACTTATATTTTTTAGTTGCATTCATTCGTTTCATTTCATTCAATTAATAATTTGGTTTATCTTCCCTTTAATTTTGTTTAGTAAATTTCTCTCTCTCTCTCTTTCTATACTAACGTTTATTTTTTGTTTATTTCATTTTTCTTCTTTCTCTCTTTGGAAGAAAACTGGAAAAGCCAAAGTAAAACGTACCTGCCCCGTTCTTTACAGGAATTTGATTTCCTATATATTTCAAGTGCACGCCGCGCGATGCGTTTGCATGCGATATGCAAATTGCAGAAGGATCGGCGAGAAACGCAAGCGTATCACCTCGAATTTAATTCCAAATTACCGTATTAATAATATCGTTGTTTATCATCGTTTCAATAACGATTTAAACAACAATCCTCACCCTCCCTCCCCCCGTGACGGAAGTTACAATAAATTTTAAACGATTATGCATACCGCGTTATAATTGCGCGTGTAAACCCAGCGAATTAATCGTCCTCTGCTATCGACGAATGAACGTCAAGTAGACACTCCAGTCGACCATTTGTAGACGTTATAAAATAAATAACTCCTTTTCTTACTATTGATAACTGACTGAAAAAAAAAGTTCATTCTACAATCTGGGAGGAATTTGCTTCTGAGAGAGTTAATAGACATCGGAATGCTGATGAAAATAAAACGATTTTGTCCGATTAAAAATACAGAGCGATCAATCGTCAAGTAGATGACTAAGAATGTAGAGTATTTAATTTTATGTTGTAATTAATTCTTCGCAGTCGTTTACGAACAATTTTTCAAAAAAAATCTGAAAAATTCTGAGATAT